GATAATTTGTGAGATCTCACGTTGGTTGAGGAAGGGAACGAAGCATTCCTTCTTTATAAGGGTGGAAAAACTTCTTCCTAGTACACACATTTTAAAACCTTGAGGGAAAACCCACAAGAAAAAGAAGAAAAAGTCCAAAAAGAACAATGTTTGCTAGCGGGAGGGTAGGCTTTGACACAGTTACCACTCTGAACTTTCATGGCAACAAACCATCAATAAGCACATCCTTCCAACCAGAATCCAGTTAAAGGAACAGCCATGCCTATTAATGTTACCAGGTAGCCAAAAGAACTTGAAGTAAAGAAGTTTCAATAGTTTTTGTGAGCAAAATTTCCCAAACCCCAAAAAAAAAAATGAAAAAAAGAACTATCTTTGATGTTCAGATGCATTACACAATCATATGAAGATAGAAAATTTGACGGGGAAGATCAGTAATCACTGGATCAATAAATTACAGCTGAACTTTATTACTGTTGAGGTAAGGAAATTTCCTGTGGCAAGGGATGAATATGGGCTGGTTCGTGGGAAGGAAGAAACATCCAGAAGTCATTTGGGATATCAATAACAAGAACAAACGGGAACCTCACAGGAAGTAAGATCAAGCATGCACATATGTATATTAGCAAATCTACTTCATAAGCACTAAATGAAATCTCTACACTTGTGCTATTTCAACCAAAATGAAAGATCCGTTCTACCACCAAAGCAAGGCAAGAATCACAAAGACACCAACGAGTAAAAGGAGGTTTTTGAGTACATTATCAGCATGCTGACCTTGACTCGTCGGTTGCTGAAAATGGTGGCCATGACCCCCATGGAATGTGTTGAATGCATAGGGGGGGTAACCAGAAGTAGTCCCATAAACTGTAGCATCAGGAAATCCATGAAACTGGATATTGAATAAAGATGGGATCAGACCACCAAAAGCAGTCGCCAAGGTGAAGTTGCCAATCCTTGCTGTTGACATTGGCATAAAGCCACCAGTGAATCCAAACCCATAGTTTGCAAAGTCATTAGCAACAGGGGGAGGTGCTGTTTGAGGCCTTTGACCAGCAGGGCGACTCGGAACATCCATACCAGAATATCTCTTCAATCTCGGGTCAGATGGTACCTTTCCCCTACCATAAAGAGGAATCAATTTCTCCCGCTGAATAAGAGCCTTACAAACAGGACATTCTTGACATTGTGAGTGATAATGCAGCCATCTATACAGACAAGGCCAGCAAAAGAGATGGCCACAGAGAGTGATAATTGGATCTTGAGCTAACTCGAAACAAATATTGCATTCGAAATCGCCAATATCATTGTTACTGGACGAAGAGGGGTTTTGATTTGGCACGCTTGTTGATTCTCCAAACTCGCTCGCCATTCTAATTTACCGCCCTAAATATAAGCAGCTATAACCACCATTGATTCCAAACGAAACCAAATCAGAATAAGATTCAACAACTTCATACCGTAGCATCAAGATCAAAATCATCAAAACTAACAAACAAATCAGGTGAGGATGATCCAAACCAAGCAAAGAACAGACGAAAAGAAACCCTCAATTCTCAAATCCCAACCCAACACGGATGCTAAAGGGAAAAAACAAAAAAAAAAAAAAAAAACAAGAAACGCAGAGATTAAAGAAGAGAAACAGCTAAAATTCAACGCAAATAGATGAAAATGAAGAGAAAAAGAGTGTCCGATCGACCTTGAGAGAATCGAACTCAGAAATTGTGGAAAGAAGAAGCGTAGCAGAGCAACGTGGAAGAAGAACAAAATCGATGTTGGTGTTGCCGATCGACAGAATCTTCTGAAATCAGGAGCTCTACCGACTTGCACATTAAAGAAAGGTGTAGAGGAGCCTTATTTTTGTGGGTTTTTTTTTTTTTTTTTTTTTTTTTTTATAATTATTATTTAATTCATTACGACGAAACGCTGCGTTTGAGATCCCCCAATCCGACGGCTCCTATTTATTTCATCTTTTAGGATCCCTAAAGAATATAAATTTAAAAAACAATAAATTAATTTATAAAACTCAAATGAATTAAAGAAAGGATAGTGGACATTAAAATTGTGGCAACCCTATATGCACATAGGAAATATAAAAATAGGATGAAAGACCGCTTAGGAACATTGAATTTAATATAATTGGACACGTTTCAACCAATCTTAATTGCATTTAATTGATTGGATGGATAAACATGCAAATCAAATACTCCTAATCTTTTATATTATTTTTAAACATTCAAAAATTTTGTTTTTTTCTTTCATTATAATATGATTCTAACTTAGTCCCAGTCTCCAACTCAGTTTATTAGTTTATTTCTCACTACAACGAGAGTTATCACGAATATATGATCAACTAAAATATCTTAAACGAATCGAAGGTCATTTGTTATACCAACCGTATGCACATTTCTTTTCTATAACTCTGACAAAAACAGGCTGAAAGGATCCTGTTGTGATCATGGTAGTGGCAGGTAGGAGTGTACATGTCTGGGTTGGGTGAGAGATTTTTTAAAAAAATTATTTATCCACAATTTATGATTAGGATACTTTTTTTTTACTCAATCCAAAATTTTTCACAACCCAACTTGAATTAGGTGCAGTTATTGAAAAAAATTATTTATCCACAATTTATAATGATTAGGATACAAGTGATTAATTAAAAGTTCACGATAATAAATATGTTAGGATGTAGAATTAAATTTCTCAATTTTATAAACTAATTTTTATTTAAAAGTACAGCGTTTTAAATTAACACAAAGTACCACTTTGGCAAACACATCATTAATATAAACTTTTTAGTATATTTTATATATTTTTATTTGGCTCCGGTTAACTCAAGAGCTTTGTCCTATGAATCCGAAACCGAACCGAATCAGTTCGGGTTCAGAAAAATGAACTAAAACCAACCCGAAAAGCTAATTCAATCCAACTCAACCCTTATAGTTCGGGTTGAGTTGATCCGAGTTGTCGGGTTGAATATACATCCTAGTGGCAGGAAAATGGGAATCAGTAGGTGTCAATTTTGGATTCTAATTCTTAAATAAGGGAGTCAGCAATAAATTTGTGTTATTAATGCTCTGTTCATTCAACTTGAAATAGCCTTAAAAGTCAGCGTGCTACAAACTCTATTAAAAATTACCAATAAACATATACCAAAAATAAAATGGAAAATTAAAAATTATGTAGTAGGGAATGTTAGAGATGAATTAATTTTGTTTAAAATTATAAAATAATAATAATAATAAACAAACTCATAAAAAGTGAGATGGCTGAACCTATAATTAACTATCAATTATTAATTAATTATGTTTTGCTTTGAAATATTTTAATTTAATACTTATAAAGTTTATTCATGCCTAACAAACTCATAAGAGGTAGATGGTTAACCTATAATCTAATAATAAATGGTTAATTTTGTTATTTAATACACATAGTTTAGTCATACCTAAAAAATTGTTCCATTTTTATTGGGTTAAATGCATGACCTAATTTATATATTATTTGAGAATCAAATATTATTTTCTATCGTTTTAAACACATTATTTGAAAGAATAAAACCAAATTATTGCATAAAAATAAAAATGATAAATTCTCACGAGTTTCACGTGTGAAATTCTCCGCTCTAAAATTCCACGTCCACGTCGTGTCTAATTTGGTAATATTATAATTAAATCTATGGGCGTAAAGGGAATAAAAGGGGAGATGAGGCAGCACGTGTGAGAGAGGTTTACACGTGTGGAAGGTTAAAAGCAAAAATAAGAAAAAGGGAAAAAAAATTAAGCCATTTGCATTTAGACCCACACGTTTCCGCTAAAAAATGGCCCAAAATTTCTACATCTCTCGAACAGACTCCCTTTCCCCTTTTTCCCTAAAAGTTCTCTCCGATTTCGCCATTTCCATGGCTTCCCCATGATTTTCACGTAAATCCCACGCTCCGCCGTCTGATCGTTCCCTCTCAACGTCGACGGCGATGCAGGCCGGAATCATGCCGATCACCGATTTAACCTACTGGCTCTCCGAGCACCCCTCGATCGTCGGATTCCGGTGGAGCCATACCCATTCATGGGGTTCCACTTGGTCCTTCCTCTTCTCCTCTATCGTCTTTTACCTCGCCTTCTCCATCGCCATCCATCTCTTTCTCAGCCTCCTCCTCCGTCCCGGCCGCCCCGTACCTCTCGGCCCCATTCCGGCCATTCATTGTCTCTCCATGGCCCTCATCTCCACTCTAATCTCCGCAGGTATCCTCCTCTCCTCCGCTGCTGAGATCCGCGACACCCGGTGGTTCTGGCGGCGCTCCAAAACTCCCCTCCAATGGCTCCTCTGTTTCCCTTTAGGCACTCGCCCTTCCGGCCGCGTTTTCTTCTGGTCCTACATCTACTATTTGTCTCGATTCTTCCACATGTTCCGCACCATTTTCACCATTCTTCGCCGTCGCCAGCTCTCCTTCTTCCAGCTCTTCAACCACTCGATTTCAACGTTTATGTCGTTCCTCTGGCTTGAATTTTCACAGTCTTTTCAGGTTCTGGCGATTCTCTCGACTTCGCTCCTATACGCAGTGGTTTACGGGTACAGATTTTGGACGGCGATCGGATTGCGAAGGGCGTGTTTCCCTTTTGTTATGAACTGTCAAATTGCGTTGTTGGGTTGCAATCTGGCGTGCCATGTGGGTGTGTTGATGCTGCATTTTATGAAAGGTGGGTGCAATGGAATCCGAGCTTGGGGTTTCAATTCGGTGCTGAATGGAGCCATTTTGCTGCTTTTCTTGAATTTCTATCTCAAAATTCATGTGGGGAAGACGAAGAGTTGTGTGAAGATCATGAAACAGCAGCCCTGTTCTGGGAATTTGGAGGTTGAGCATTTGAAAGAGAAGAATCAATGAAGGAATTTTAGGAAGAAAATCATGAATCTGCTTTTGTAAAGAGGTAAATATATGAATGTATATTATATACAAATTCACATATATGTTTAACGGTAGAAATTTATGGCTGGGGAAAAATGTGTAATGTTTAGGAGACACCTCAGTAGTAGGCCTTCAAATTTTAATGATGATCAATAAATTTATTCCAATTTTCTCCTCTCTCCGAGTCCAGCATCAGCCTCGGCCTCGTTGGTCGTGAGCTCGATATAGGATCTCACACCTCACCACTCAGCTGACTTTCAGGGTCAATGTCTTTGTACAGTCTTGAGTGTCTAGCTATGATACTATTGATAGCTCTTTGTACAGTCTTGAGTGTCTAGCTATGATACTATTGATAGCGGCTATTACTACTGTAGTTTTGACCGGACAATTTTAAGACACCACTACTGTAGTTTTGACCGGACAATTTTAAGACACATATTCTAAGAATATTTCGCCAATTGACGCGTGTGAGTTAAAGTTGAAATGAGATTTAAATCAAATTAATGAATATTAATTATATTTTAATGTGTTTATTTAGTTTATTTGTCACATTTTGTCCATATTTGAGAGGTATTTTTAAAATTAGTTGTATTCTTTTATTATTATTAAACATCATAGTCAAATATTGTCATTTTTTTCAACTTTAATTTGTAGCTTTCCTAATATTAAATTCCACACTACCATTAATTATTCATTAATATCAGTGTTGTGTTTATTCATAATTTTATATTGAGACATATTATCAGTATATATATATTTTTATCAAACATCACTCTCCCACCCAATAGAGATTTCTCCTTAAATTTAAAATATTGTTAATAATAATAATTATTATTATTTACATGGAAGAAATTTATACATAACTTGCACGAAAAAAAAAAAAAAAACTTAGCCCTTAAGTTATCAACTCAAAGCAAACCTAATAACCTAATTTAATTGCGTAATAGTGTGTACTCTCCGTTGGCCTTAACACCCGTATGAAGCTTGGCTTGCTTTAGCAGCCACGTGATAATTCAATGTTTGTAGTAACTGAGAGTTGGGAGAAGCAGAAAGAAACGAACACCAATAAATTAAAAATCGAGTCGTCACTCTTATGCTATATTTATCATACCGTAACTACACGGAATGAAATAATTCAACTGGCTTGTAACGAGATAAATTCTCATGTGTTACTGTTTGGAGATTAAAAAAGTAATGGTAATTACATCCTAACTGTTGTGTGAAAAATAAATGGAAAATAAATTATTTTACATTTTTTCGATTTGTGGGTCATGTTTCTTCTAAAGCCCATACTTGTCTTGGCCCATCAGACTACNAAATGTTATATTATCTCATTCTTAGAAAAAAAAAAAAACAAAAAAGACAATTGGTTTATAATTATTTGATTATTACAAATTTTTAAAAACTAATCTATTAGTTTTCAAAATATTTTTTTGAATTTTAAAAATATTAATAAAAAAATACATTTAAAAATAGTTCAAATGCACATGTAGACTTAAAAGCTGCAAAAACCACGAGGAGTTAAGCGTGATAAATGTTTATCATAAATGTGTATCATGAAACATTTGAAAGCATAACTACTAATAGGCTTTGGACATTGATATTGACATGGATATTAGTTCAGTCAATCGCTTAGCAGCCCTGATTGAATTTTGTTTTTCATGCTTTTATAACCTTTTTTCTCATTTTCATTTCTACCTATGTTTTTACGCCATTAATATTGATATAGATAAGATCGAAACAAAATTTAGAAAATGCAACATCGAGTCGACTCGTTTAAAATTCAAGTTACGTGCAATCTTCTACAATTGTATGACCTACTTTTTTCCTAAAGATTTCCTCGATTTTATCGTTTCAATGCTATTGCCATTACCATTCACGTACCCATCCTAAATGAGGTTCGAGAGAGAGTTAGAAGAGATTTCTCCCCATTAACTATACGTGATTGTGGACGAAAATTATATTGGTGGGCAGGTCCAAAATCTTGCTTATATATATATATATATATTTATTTATTTAATAAATGTTTAATTAAAATAAGGAAAATTGCTATGGCCATTAATTGTCTGACCAAAAAGGGACATATTGAAGTTATTTACAAAAATGAGTTATTTCATTTATTTGTTATTATTTTGTATTTATTGATTAAAATTAAAAAAAGAAAAAGTGAGGAAAATTGGCTAAGAAGGCAATGGGGGGTATTTTGGGGTTAATGAAAAATGGCAGATGGAGCCATCTCCAAAAGGTTCCAAAATGAGATGGCAGATGGCAATTTTGGTATAATGTTTATAAAATCCAAAATCTTACGTTTTGGCATCTCTTTCTTGGGCACCGTAAAGGATGCTCTTCTTCATTTTAATTCTTTTTTCCTTTTTTATCCTTTTCTTAATTTATAATTACGTCTCTTTTTTTTTTCTTTTTTTCTTTTTTTATATCTTGCTATCCTTTATAATTAATATCAATTCTCTGGGAACATATATAATTAAATAATTTTGTTTTTAATCTTCTAAAAAATAATTTTAGAATAAAAGAATACATATAAATTATTCCCCCCCCCCCAAAAAAAAAAA